AATGGTTGAGGGTTTGAATGGTGCTCTTGAAGAGTCCATGGTGGTGGAGAGGCCTTCACTGCAGGCTGCAGGGGTTGCCTTTCACCAGCAGGATCCTGACATTTTAAAGGTTAAGAAGGTGGACTTTGTGGGCTTTATAGCTATGGTGATAAATGGCACTGCCAAGGTAGAGAGAAGGTCCAGGAAGATAGAAATCATTGTGGAAGCAGCGGAGCAGTTCCTGGGTCTGAAAGATTTATTGGCGAATGAGTTACATGGAATATTGTCACAAGCCGTACCACCCTCTCAGGCCCTAGAGCAGGGGTGTCAAACTCATTTTAGCTCAGGGGCCACATGGAGGAAAATCTATTCCCAAGTGGGCCGGACCGGAAAAATCATGGTATATATAACTTAAAAACAACAACTTCAGATTGTTTTCTTTGTTTTAATACGATCAACATACAACATAAAGCTGGAGCCTGAGGACAGTGTGTCCAAAATAGTACAAGCACAACATCACTATTAATCATAAAACACCTCAAGTTGTTTGAAAGTTCTGAGGACAAAGAACACACAAACACACAATGCCTCAGTGATTAACAGAACTGTTTCACAGATCACAGAACTATATCAGGGTGTCATTTCTCAGGCAGAAATGTAGATAAAAATAATGAAATCCTGTTCCCCAAACAAGTGCAAGAATCACAGAGTCAAGAATAGGTTAAATATACAAATAAAATAAAATAAATTAAAAATGTCACACCCTGGCTCGGGGACTCATTATGTTGAGCCAGGGTGTGTTCATTCTATGTTTTCCGTTTCTTTGGTGGGTGTTCTAGGTTGTCTATTTTCTATGTTTGCCGGTGTGACTCCCAATCAGAGGCAACGAGTGTCAGCTGTCGGCTGGTTGTCTCTGATTGGGAGCCATATTTAATCTGTCTGTTTTTCTTTCGGGTTGTGGGATTTTGTTCGTGTGTGTTCGTGTTGTACCATAGACGTCACGCATTCGTTGTTTATTGTTTTGTTCGTGTGAGCATTTAATAAATAGAATATGTTCACTCGCAACGCTGCGCCTTGGTCTCCCTCATTAGACGATCGTGACAGAAAATCCCACCAGTACCAGACCAAGCAGCGTGAGGAGGAGAGAGGAAGGACCTGGGATCAGGGGAGTAGGAGTTTCGGCTGGGCCACGCTAAGTGAAGAGGAGAGAGGCTGGTCTATGAAGCAATGGATCGAGAGTCTGGCGAGAGCTAGGGAGGCCTGGTCCACGGGGAGGAGAGAACCCCAGACATTTTTTAGGGGGGGGCTCACGACGTGGACGACGGGGCAGCAGGAGGCCGCGATGGAGCGGTCCAGCGGGTGTGAAGAGGAGGCCGCCAGGTTAAGGGGGCCACTGGTCACAGAGGAGAGGGAAAGTGTGGAGGCACGGCGAGAGGTACTGGGGTGTGTTACCAGTCCGGTCCGGCCCGTTCCTGATCCCTGCGTAGGGCCAGTGGTGTGTGTCCCCAGTACGGTCCGGCCTGTTCCTGTTCCTCGCATCGAGCCTGTGGTGCGTGTCGTCAGCCCGGCCCGGCCTGTTCCTGCTTCCCGCATCGAGTCTGTGGTGCGCGTCGCCAGCCCGGCCCGGCCTGTTCCTTCTCCCCGCACCAAGTCTGTGGTGCGTCTCGTCAGCCCTGTCCGGCTCGTTCCTGCTCCCCCGCACCAAACCTGTGGTGCGCGTCGCCAGCCCGGCCCGGCCCGTTCCTGCTCTCCGCACCAAGTCTGTGGTGTGCGTCGTCAGTCCGGCACGGCCCGTGCCTGTTCCCCCGCACCAGGTCAGGGGTGCGCTTCGACGGCCCGGCTCGGCCCGCTCCTGCTTCCCACACCAAGCCAGTGGTGTGCGTCGTCAGTCCGGCACGGCCCGTGCCTGTTCCCCGCACCAGGTCGAGAGTGCGCTTCGACGGCCCGGCTTGGCCCGCTCCTGCTCCCCACACCAAGCCAGTGGTGTGCGTCGTCAGTCCGGCACGGCCCGTGCCTGTTCCACCGGTGGCTGGTCCGGCACCGGTCAGAGGCTTCACGTCGGAGCTAGAGCAATCCGCTCCACCAGTGTTCAGTCCAGTTCCGGCCAGCAGGGCCAAACCGGACCAGGGGTACTTTGGGGGGTTCGAGAAGGAGTGGGGGTCAAGCCCGGAGCCGGAGCCGCCGCCGAGGAGGAATGCCCACCCAGCCCTCCCCTGTTTTTGCTCTTATTTAGGCGCGGTCGCAGTCCGCGCCTTTAGGGGGGGGTACTGTCACACCCTGGCTCGGGGACTCATTATGTTGAGCCAGGGTGTGTTCATTCTATGTTTTCCGTTTCTTTGGTGGGTGTTCTAGGTTGTCTATTTTCTATGTTTGCCGGTGTGACTCCCAATCAGAGGCAACGAGTGTCAGCTGTCGGCTGGTTGTCTCTGATTGGGAGCCATATTTAATCTGTCTGTTTTTCTTTCGGGTTGTGGGATTTTGTTCGTGTGTGTTCGTGTTGTACCATAGACGTCACGCATTCGTTGTTTGTTGTTTTGTTCGTGTGAGCATTTAATAAATAGAATATGTTCACTCGCAACGCTGCGCCTTGGTCTCCCTCATTAGACGATCGTGACAAAAAACAATAGCACATCAACATAAAAACATATAAACATAAATCTGAAAGCGTTGCTCAAACTCCCGTAACAGTCCCGTTATTTTATCTTTGAACCGCTTCATGTCTGCCACATGTTGGGTCGCGCACACATTTTTCAGACAGGGGAAGTGAGCTGCATCACCACCGGCAAGTTGCGTCTCCCACAATGACAGCTTCAACTTGAAAGAACGTATGCTGTCATAATACTGCGTGACAACTTTGTTGCGCCCTTGCAGCTGTTTGTTCAAGTTATTCAGGTGCTCTGTAACATCCACCATAAATGCAAGGTCCTGCATCCATTCTGCGGAATGAAATTCTAACACTGGTTTGCCCTTTTCTTCCACGAACTGTTCAATTTCTTCTCGTAAATCAAAGAAACGCCTCAGCACAGCACCTCGGCTTAACCATCTTACCTCAGTGTGGTATGGCAGGCCATAGATGTGGTCTTTCTCTCTGAGAAGGCTGTCAAACTGACGGTGATTCAGGCTTCTGGATCGGATGAAATTAACAGTTTGGATGACCACCTTCATGACGTTATCCATCTTTAATGACTTGCAACACAAAGCCTCCTGGTGCAAAATACAGTGAAAAGTCAAAAAATCACGTCCTCCATTTGCAGATTGCACTTTCTCTCTGAACTTTGTCACAACGCCTGCTTTTTTCCCGATCATTGAGGGCGCACCATCTGTAGCCAGGCTGACAGCGCGGGACCAGTCCACTCCGACCCTGTCCAGCGCGCCGACGAGTGCGGTAAAAATATCAGCTGCTGTCGTTGTATCTGTCATCGGCACCAACTCCACGAACTCCTCGGTGACGGTCAATGTGTCATCAACTCCGCGGATGAAAATGGCCAGTTGTGCAACATCTGTAATGTCCGTGCTTTCATCAATTGCAACCGAAAACGCAATAAATGACTTTACTTTTTGCTTCAACTGGCTGTCCAAATCCACTGAAAGATCGGAAATCCTGTCTGCAACTGTGTTTCTTGTCAGGCTGATATTTGCAAAAGCCTGCCGCTTTTCAGGGCACACAATCTCCGCTGCCTTCATCATGCATGTTTTTACAAATTCACCCTCACTAAATGGTTTTGAAGCCACTGCGATTTCATTAGCAATGAGGTAGCTAGCTTTCACTGCAGCGTCACTGATGTCTCGGCTGTGAGTAAACACAGACTGCTGTTTCTTCAGACCCGCCAACAGTTCATTCACCTTCTCTCATCTCCGCTGTCCTTGAAAGTTGTCATATTTGTCGGCATGAAGACTCACATAGTGGCGACGAAGGTTATATTCTTTCAGCACTGAAACATGCTCTGAACACACCAAACATACAGCTTTTCCATTCAATTCCGTGAATAAATCGGATGACCATTTTTCTTGGAACACTCTGCACTCTGCGTCCACTTTTCCCTTTTTTGACAGAGACATATTGGGGCAATGAGGGTGCCAAAGCACATAATGTTAAAAGTAGAAGCCGTAATAAATATCGCGGGCAAAACAAAGTAGCTCATTGGCTGCACGTGCTTGACCTACTTGCTCTGCCCCGGTATAAACAGTTTGCTTGCTTAACACAATTGCTATTGCGCCATCCAGTGGACGCAATTGGAACAGCAGTTTATTTTATTGAAAAATTGCAGCGCATTTTTATACTTGACAAAATTATTATTATTATTTTTATTTATTTATTATTATTATTATTTTTTTATCATCTCGCGGGCCGGATTAAACCCGTTTGCGGGCCTGATCCGGCCCGCGGGCCGGACGTTTGACACCCCTGCCCTAGAGCCTGAGAAGGGAGATATGGAGAATTTTAAAGAAGGAAGAAGTGGGAGTTTTGTTTTGTCAATGTACAATTTTTATTTGTGTGGATTAAGTTAGTTTCTCTATCACATATGGATTTTTTTTTACCTTGTTTTGGTTTCAACCCGTCCAATTGGTGGCGGCAATACACCTTTTGGGGTTGTAGTCCGCCATAAAACCCACAGAAGAAGAAGAATTTCAGCTGACTTCCTATTGGAGTGTTGACGCACTGTGAAGCTTCATGTCAGTGAACTGAGTGCTGAGCGACTCATCTGATAGCTAGCTACAAATTTTGTTTGCAAATGAATGGGGGAAAAAATGCATATGTTGTACTTGTGCCTCATCGAAAGATTTTATTAATGAACTGCTGACCGTGGCAGATTGCTAACTATGTCGCTAGTTACACAAGTAAATTGGATTATCGTCTTCAAAACATAGCCTGATCAAAGATTCAGTGAGCTTGACTCTGGTTGATTACAGTCGTCAATCTATGCACAGCTGTGTCCAGAATTCCACATGTGGGCATACTTGTGCATTTATATTATGTACGCCACAGAACATGGTCATCAGATGGAGATAATTTAGCACGGCGCTAAGACCAAGCGGAACTCTCATCGCCCGTCCAGCAGTGGGCCCTCACGAGGGTCCTCCTCGCCTCTGTGCGGTGATTGGGTGGAAGATGGCGCTGGGCGAATGAAAAATCCTAATGACAGTTTCCAAATTTGCCTCTTTTTGTACCATGGTAAGTAAATGGCATCTACTACACACATTTGAGGATGGCGCGACAACCGTAGTTGTGTTGTTTCCATCTTGCGTGGCAGGGAAGATGGTTAAAATCGTCTACTTTTCCGTTGCTACCCAGTCAGTCTTCCTAGCTACTAGCTTCACTGACACGACAATCATGTTTTCGTCTCACGTTCTTTATAGTTAGCCTAGCTAGCTATGTTAATGTCGTAGGTCTACGTTGTTATATATTAGTTGTTTATGTATTATCTTACATTTTAATTAACGAAGACAACAAATCAAATGCTGTGCTCATATCCGCCTACAATATGACCTAGTGACCGCACCGCATAACTCTGCTGCTTCAGCACCTTGTTACCGCGTTTAGCTTGCACATTCATTTTGCAGCAAATCAGTGTGGGTGTCAAGGCATTTGAACACTGGACACGACAACCACCATAGTTCATTGTCAAATCTAACAAAGTTTATGGTCCACAATTGGTAACTACATTTGATCACACCTGTACTTTTCCTGGATGTCAACGATAATTTAGGTAGCCAGCATTTCCAGATAGCTCGCTGTAGTCAGATAGGGTGCTACAATGTTGTGACATGATACAGTGAGTTGTCTTCCTGAACACCAAACCACTTTGAGCTGTTTCTGGGACACAGTGGATGAGGACATGATCAGCTGCGCTCAGTAGATTGCTAGATAAGTCTGACATGTTGTTCCATGTCTTGCAAAGATAGCTAACTCTTTATTTTGGCAAACGTCATTTATTTGGATAATAAATTGGGTTTTGTTTTGTTTATTTTTTGTCTTCATAACCAGCCTCCGGCAATGTAGGCCTACTCAGGAAATCCTGGTTGTGGTGCCTTTGCACAGCCTGTTATGTCAGCCATGTTCCATTATCAAAGAATGACCCCCTCCTCCCACTGACAGCCGTTGGCATTGGATATAAAATAGCATTTAGAACTATTGATTGATACACACTCCCATAGACCTATGCTAAAAAAAAATATCAGCACTTTGTTTCTGTGTTCCAGGGCGCCAATGCCTCCGCTCTGGAGAAAGAGATTGGCTCAGAGCAGTTCCCTGTCAACGAGCACTACTTCGGATTGGTCAACGTAAGTGAGAGTGCCGTAGTTCACATGCACATGTGTGCATAATCCGTGTTACAGATCACATGTGCCTTCTGCATATAGATGGTTAAAATCGGTGTGCATCCAGCTCTCAGCCTCACTTTTGCTTCATCCATGCAGTTTGGGAACACCTGCTACTGTAACTCGGTGCTGCAGGCTCTGTATTTCTGCCGTCCATTCCGGGAGAAGATCCTGGCCTACCGCAGCCAACCCCGACGCAAGGAGAACCTGCTGACCTGCCTGGCCGACCTGTTCCACAGCATCGCCAACCAGAAGAGGAAGGTGGGAGTCATACCACCCAAGAAGTTCATCACGCGCCTACGCAAGGAGAATGGTGAGAGGGAGATCGTATGCTTGCAGTTCAGGAATGGAAGAAGAAGTGGATGGTTGAAAATGTTGTGGGTGTGGACATTTTTACGACAGGAGTAAGAAGGATGAGGTTGACACACTCCCCTGTTCCCTTCTCTCCATCTCCCCCTGCAGAGCTGTTTGACAACTACATGCAACAGGATGCCCATGAGTTCCTGAACTACCTGCTCAACACCATCGCTGACCTGCTGCAGGAGGAGAGGAAGCAGGACAAGACCAACGGCCGCCTGGCCAATGGCTCGCTCGACTCCCAGAACCACAACAGCAACGCCCCGCCCCCCCTCCACCTGGGTCCATGAGATCTTCCAGGGAACCCTCACCAACGAGACCCGCTGCCTCACCTGCGAAACGGTACCTACTGTCTGACTCCCCATGTCAACTAGTGACGTCCCTGTTGTTGTTGTGATCAGCAGGATGCAATACTTGTCGGTGATACGCTGTAGAGAGAAGTTCTGTTGGCAGGAAGATGGACAAAATGATATTTTCGTCTGGCTCTAGTCATGACAGGATGCTGTTGTTTTCTCCCTACAGATCAGCAGCAAAGATGAAGACTTCCTGGACCTGTCAGTGGATGTGGAACAGAACACGTCCATCACACACTGTCTCAGGTAACGTCTACAACACCTGACTACAATAACACATTACATACTGACTGACCTGTGCATTGATTCTTGCTCCGTGTGACTCCCAAGTACCATGACCCCTCCCTCTCCTTCGCTCCCTCCAGGGGGTTTAGTAACACAGAGACTCTCTGCAGTGAGTATAAGTACTACTGTGAAGAATGTAGAAGCAAACAGGAGGCACACAAAAGGTCAGTATTGGCAGTGTTGTGTTTATTGTAAAAGTGAACATAAAAGTATTCTTATTTGATAACTGTTTTTATGGCTACTATAAGGTGTTTGAGGATGTGTGTCTGCGTCCACTCTGACTCACTTCCCCCCCAGGATGCGTGTGAAGAAGCTGCCTATGATCCTGGCTCTACACCTGAAGAGGTTTAAGTACATGGAGCAGCTGCAGCGCTACACCAAGCTGTCCTATCGCGTTGTCTTCCCTCTGGAGCTCCGCCTCTTCAACACCTCTGGAGATGCAACCAATCCTGAGAGACTCTACGACCTGGTCGCTGTCGTGGTGCATTGTGGAAGGTCAGTATTGTGTCTACAAGGTTGCCTAAAAGTATCCAAACTGACCCTAAAGGGTGTGAGTTTGTTCCTGACTGCATTGTCTTGTTTTCAGTGGCCCAAACCGAGGACACTACAATCGCCATTGTGAAGAGTCACGACTTCTGGCTGCTGTTTGATGACGACATTGTAGAGGTAAGCTAGTCAGTTGTGTGTGTGTGTGCGCGCGAACATGCATGTGTGCGCCCTTGTGTCTTGTGCGACCCCACTGATCCGTGTTGTCTCTCCTTCCCTCTCTGCAGAAGATAGACGCCCAGGCCATAGAGGAGTTCTACGGCCTCACCTCTGAGATCTCCAAGAACTCGGAGTCAGGCTACATCCTCTTCTACCAGTCCAGAGACTAACTGTCCCTGGAGAGGACAGTGCCTCCCAGTGGAGCAGAGGAGAAAAGCCCAGTGCCTCAGCAGTAGGAATAATGGACCATACTAGTGTATACCCTCGGTGGTGTCACACACCTGCACAGGTGTCATTCATACCTGTGTATATGGAGCTACTGCAGCTCAGCCTACTTCCCCCACCCAGTCAGCCTACTTCCCCCCACCCCGTCAGCCTACTTCCCCCACCCCGTCAGCCTACTTCCCCCACCCAGTCAGCCTAATTCCCCCCCACCCCGTCAGCCTACTTCCCCCACCCCGTCAGCCTACTTCCCCCCACCCCGTCAGCCTACTTCCCCCACCCAGTCAGCCTACTTCCCCCACCCCGTCACTTAGGCTGAAGATACTGCTACAGGGAGAGTTGTGTCAAATGTTCAGTGGATGTTGTATCAAAGTTTTATGAGTTGGAAAGATGCTTAATGAGGGTTGTACAGAGGTTTTGTGAATGAGGCGTTGGTTTTAGCATGGGTGTTTGGGTGGGTTGAGTGGTTATTTAATGATTAATGTGTTGTAATATCGGCCAGGCGTCTGCACACTCCTTCAGACTGTAATACTGCTTTGGTGCCTGGCTGGGGCCTAGTCAGTGTAGACCAGTTGACTGCAGGAGGGGGGAGGCGAGTGTTCCAAGTGTGGGGTGCTTGGGTCGTGTATTTCTACCGTGTACAAAATGTGGTATTTGTATAAATATTATGAGAAGAATAAGATATTATCATAGGTGGGGAAAAACGTAAGACCATGAGAAGAATCTGTATTGACACTTTGGTGCACTTTTGATACCATTTTGTAGGTGTTGGCAAGGTTTATGTGAGGGTTTGCTTGAGAAATGGTCATTGTGAAATGTTCATTTTCTGTTTTTAAAGAAAAATTAATAAAAGCTAATAAAAACTGTGTGTGTGACTCTCATAGACTGGTTCCTCTTCCCCAGGTGCACACTGATGACTCATTTATACTCAGCACTGCCGTTCAGTGGTTCTACCTGGTCACTACAGGTTCATACTGCAACAGCACAATAGCAGTCTATTTTTAATCCATTCACACCTCCAGTCATGATGCTGCAGGCTAGCCCACCCACTGTTGCCTTAACAACAACAGGGCTAGATGATGCTAGGGCAGCTCATTGTACCTAAGGCAGGTGTGGAGGAGACTAGCCACCTACAGAGACATCTGAATAAATACTTTATCACTGATCTGAGTATATTACTCAATGGGAATATATTACAAATGTATTAACTTTCATTAATGGAAGATTGAAAGTGAAGGCCCTCAAGCACAGAGGAACTGAGATTGGTTTGGAATAGTGGGATAGAATCTGGGAAGGAGGTGGTGGCTGACACAGATCATAGTTAGAATAGACATGCCCAGAATAGCAATCCACAGAGGGCTAGGAAGTAGAGAGAAGCGCTCCACATCAAAACTACATGCCATCATTATAGAACTGAAGAATAAAAATTAAAGGGAAAATCCACTAAAAAAACTAGCTTTGGTATTTTCATTAGTCCACTGTTGATACGGTCCCAAAATGTTTTGCATGTCAGCAGTTACGTTTTCAAGATATTGGACTTTCAAGAAGCAAAGTTTCACCGGCCACATCATCTTTTTTTTCTGATATTTAAAAATGATTATTATAGGCAACCCACAACATGATCTTAGAATTTTTCCAGACCACTTTAAACATTGTTTTAGGAGAATGAGTTTTAAAAATTAAATGTTTCAACCTTATGCTAAATGGTATTGGTAACCATAGGCTACATCATGTCAAAATAAACATTACTATGGTGAATAAATAATCCATTTGAATTTCATTTAATTAAATTCGACTTCCTGTTATTCAAATTCAATTAAAATTCAGTTTCCTTTGGGGTGTGGCCAATTACAGTTTTTTCCAACTGCTTACACACAAAATCTTTTCATGTCACACGATTTTTGAAACCTCTCACTCAAAGTGCAAAACTACACACCAAATCTCCAAAACCATAAGCTATTTCTCAGCCTTTGACTCAGTTGTCAATTGCATAAAACACTTTTTTCAAAACACTACACACAATTCTCTACCTAAAACACAAAAATCTAACAGGAAGTGACTTGCTTTCCTTTTCCAAACACAACCAATCAAAATGCTACACTTATTCACCAGGTCAAACACACTCTCCTCACATGTTCAAACACTAATTGCTTTACTGATCACTAACCAATCACTGCTTTACTGTAGTATAGGACTGTTTTGAACAATGGATGCCAACAATGGACAGAGAGCAAGAGGAGTAGGAGGGAGAGGCAGGGGACAACAACGAGGACAAATTCAAAGATGAAGAGTTGGAGGAGGAGGAGGAGGAGGAGGAGGAGGAGGAAGAGGAAGAGGACGAGGGCAAAGAAGAGAAGGAAGGAGAGCCATCTCTGATGAGATTAGGGCAACACTTGTTGATCATGTGATCAACCACGGTTTGACCATGAGAGAGGCTGGACTGAGAGTCCAGCCCAACTTGAGTCGATTTACAGTGGCGTCCATAATTCAAACCTTCAGAAATGAGAACAGGTATGCAACTATCTAATGACTATTTTAGCATTAGAGTAATGTACTGTAAAATATGTATGACTGCATAGTATTGCATAAACCTTTGTAACTCTAAGCCATCCATTTACTGCACTGCATTGAATGAATGAGGTTGGTTATCATGCTGTACTACATTTTTGTGTGCATTGTTTACAGTTCCTATGCTGAACACATACTGTGTTTGAATTCTGTACAGAGTGGAAAGGCAAAGACATCATGGAGGACGAGGACGTTTCTTTACAGATGTACAAGAGACTGCAATTATAAATATGGTTTTGGCCAACAATGCAATTAGGATTTGAGAGATAAGAGAGCATATCTTGAATAATGACACCATATTTAACAACATCAATGCTGTAAGCCTGTCGACCATACAACGCATCCTCCAATGGCACCAAGTGACGATGAAACAACTTTACAAGGTGCCATTTGAGAGAAACTCTGACAGAGTCAAGAATCTGCGACATGACTTTGTAGAGGTATGTATGCAACACTACTTCCAGTACTTCAGACATACCATATTTACTCATCTGTATATCCTTTTGTCTGTTACAGAGAGTATTGGAGATGGATGCCCATGTACATTTATTTATGTGGATGAGGTTGGCTTTAACCTCACCAAATCCAGGCGCCGCGGAATAAATGTAAAAGGACAGAGGGCAATTACCAATGTCCCTGGACAGCGTGGGGGTAATATAACTATGTGTGCTGCCATCACTCAAAACGGGGGTCCTCCATCACAATGCCACACTGGGTCCGTACAACACCGGCCATATCCTCACTTTTCTGGATGCAATTTACACAATGCTTGTCCCTGATCCATATCAGGAGCCTGCTAGATTTGTGGTTATATGGGACAATGTTAGTTTTCACCGGGCTGTTCTGGCCCAAAACTGGTTTGCCACCCATCCACAATTTGTAGTTTTGTACCTACCCCCCATATTCACCTTTTCTAAATCCCATAGAGGAATTCTTCTCAGCCTGGCGCTGGAAAGTGTATGATTGCCAACCCTATGCCCGCGTGCCGCTTCTCCAGGCAATGGAGGACGCATGTGGGGACATAGAAATTGCCTCTGTCCAAGGTTGGATACGCCATGCTAGGAGATACTTCCCTCGATGTTTGGCAAGAGAAAAGTTATCTTGTGATGTGGATGAGGTATTGTGGCCAGACCCAGCCCGGAGAAGAGATGAAGCGTAGCTTAGCACTGGTGACTGCCCCCCCCCGCCTACCAATTCCTGGACTGGCCCCCCCCCCCCCCCCCCCCCCCCCCCCCCCCCGGACCCCACACACACACAATTGTGTTCTTTACTGTATTCTAAAGAATATACTTTTGGTTTACATATGTTTATGGTTTTGTTGTATGCTACTGTATACAACAGTAATGTTTGCCCTAATAAATATTTTCTGTTTCTACATTGCATTGGTGTTTACAGTGTACTTGTTACCCCTCTCAGCAGATTACTTTCACTGTAGAACATTGTATTGGAATGTATATATAAGCCTATGAAAGACCAAAGAGCTTTAGATTCAGAACAACAGTGTTTACATGGTATATCCAAAAATTTACTATTATGAAAGTAGTGTTTGCCATTTGATGCAAATGCTTCATTCTGACATGTGTTTATGGCATTTTGAATGAAGTGTTACATTTTGAAGGAGATGTGAGGCATTTTGCATTTCGTGTGTGCAGTTTTGGGAATTGTGTGTAGAGTTTTGAAAAAAGGAGACATAGTTTTGAAAACGTGTGTAAGCAGTTGGAAAAAACTGTAAAATTCAAGAATTGAATTGGAATTAAAGAGCAATTTGCAGCTCAATTCAGAATTGACCCCAACCCTGTCTCACACATCTGTAGGAAATTGAAATGGTGATACCACACCCTGGTAACCAATCATAACCCATCCCTGCACTTAAAAAAATATAGAAAGACACTGGCACTGGCCTAATGCAGGTCTATTGACCCCGCAAGGTCGGAGTTCATTTTCTCATGTTAAGCCTAACATATCACAAAACTATACAAGGTGTCACAAGGCTGCCATGATTTAGACCGCTGGCTGGCGGCAATAATGCTATAAACTGTTCAGCAATATGCAACTTTTTGGGCAACCAACCAAATTCACATAGAAATGTGAGTTATAGATCTGTCATTCTCATTGAAAGCAAGTCTAAGAAGTGGTTGATCTGGTCTATGTGCGCTATTTATAAATTTCCTTTTGCATCTTTTACTTTCGGTTTTGTACTGTAGTGTCGAGTCAATGCTGGCAATTATTGCTGTAACAAAGGAGTCCGCTTAGGCTGTACTTTGATCATAAGGTTTATTCATATCACAAGATTTCAGCATAAGTTACGGATGTCATGACCACCCGGAGAGCGGCGTCCCAGATTGCAATGGCCGCTCTAACCTCTTCTTCGTTTTTACCCAGTATATATAATCTTCCCAAGATATGGGTGGCTCCCTCTACTGTCCAATCCCCTGTCTACAACACACACTTCCTGTCTTTTGTATGTGGCGTCACACTAAAACATTCCCTCTGACACTAAATCAACATCCTCTCAGGTTCCACTTAAAAACATTAACAAAGTCATAATCTTAATATACTACATTCCCCCCTTCGAGACGAACTAAAAGTCTCGAAAACAAA